CAGCCATAAAGAACAATGACGAGTCAGCAAAACACATTATAATATGGAGGGACCTAGAGGACATAATGCAAAGTGAAAATAAGTCAATCACATCAGGACAAATATTGTATGATTCCACTTTTATAAGAAGATAATAGATACATACACAGAGACCAATGTACATTGGTGGTTACTAGGAATGAGTGTGGAGGAATGAGGTGGGGGAAAAGGTTATCACTAGATCATAGATACTTGTTATTTTTGGCGGTGGGAAAAGTAGCACAGAATGTGGGTGTAATGGGCACAGCTTGAACAAGTAAACAATGCAAATAAGAAGCCCACGAGATAAAAGGATGTTTGTGCTAAAGAATATGACATATAATTTTGCAACAACACCAACAATAATGAAAAAATGAGTGTATGGGTCACATATGGGTGTAGGAGTAGGAATGTATATATGTGTGCACAGACAGAAGTATCTTTATCAACATGTCCATACAGTTATGTGTGCACATGCATATATATTCATAGAGGACACAGTTACAGAAAGACTTCAGACATAACCAAATACCTCGTGAGATTGGCTTTCTGATTTTGGAGACTTAGGACTTTAGTCTCATGGGACTACTTAGTCAATTGGCACAATGTAGTTCACAAGGTTCATGTTCTGAATCCTAGTGAGGTGAATAGCATCTGGGGTCTTAAAACAATGTAAGGAGCCATCTAAGATACATCTATTGGTCTCTACTCATCAAGAGCAAGAAAGAAAGAAAGAAGCCAAAGTTTCAGGGAAGAAACTAGTCTACAGGGCTAATAACCTACGTGAGCCATGGTCTCATCTACCCTAAGACCAGAAGAACTAGATGGTGCCTGGCTACCACTACCAACTATTCTGATCAGGGCCACAATAGATGTACCCTGACAGAACAAGAGAAAAATGCAGAACAGAAATCACATTCTTAAAAAGTCCAGACTTACTAGATGAGTTGAGATTAGAGGACTCCCTGAGACTATCACCATGAGATACTCTTTAAACATTAAACTGAAACTATCCACTGAGGTCACCTTTTAGCAAAATAATAGATTGGCACATAAAATACAGGATATTACCCATGAGTGTCGTACTCCATCTATTTGAAACCAAAAGATCAACAATTATTCCAAAGCAAAGATGACAAAATAAGAGTGCAGGGAAATTAGAATAACAGAAATGCAACAATCAGAACAGGATTAAAGAGAATGTTGACATATTGTGAAAAATGTAACTGTCTCTGAACAGTTTCTGTCAAAATTGCCAGATGGGAACATAATTTGCTGTGTCAAGTTTCACCAAAAACACAATAAAAATACTATTTAAATAAAAAAGTTCTTTTGTTTCAAGATGGAAGAGGCATAACAAATTTAAATGATGAGGAAGACTGTGAAAAGAAGCAGAGGTTGCTGGTAAAGGAGGTTTAAATTATAATCAATTATCCTTCCTGACAAACCAAGAAAGAAAGAGTTTCGACTGTAGATCTCAGACTTAACCTGGGGTAGAGATGAGTCTCCAACTTTATAGCAGAGAAAGAGAAACTAATGGATGTGGGTCTAAGAATATATATAGATATTTTGGTGATAAGCTAAAGTAATTTGTTTAATTATGTCATTCACCTTCTTAGTAGGAGGTAATCCCATCTATTGAAATTCATGGAGAAGGTGAGAACTTGTGAGATTCAAAAGGCATAGAGAAGATTTGAAAACTTTATGGACCATGGAAAATTACTGAGGCAAGTAGGACTGTTAGATTTAAAAGACACTAGGAGTAGTGACTGCTTAGATCAGAAACAATATTGTAGTCATGATCTGTGTCAGATGCAGTCAGGGACGAATTTGATATCCTCATCTA